AAACAAACACAACATTTATCGCCAAGACTATAAAAATTATTACTTTTGACATTTGCCTGATGCTATTTAGATTAATTTGAAACAGAATTAGTTTATATAACAAGGCTCATTCTAAAAAAAAATTGAAAAGCAATGAAGCAGAATCACTAGTTTTTCTTAGATTTAACGTGCCCTCCAAACCATTGTTGCGGAAACTCGATGGGAAGTATAGGAAAATCAGAGTAGAAGTGTTTTTTTATTTTTGTAAATCACACCCTCCCCCCAGTTTCATGCAAACATTCAGAATAAGAAGCAGTTCTCCGTAATGACATCCACAAAATTCCTCCTCGAATTGAAATGGTAAAGAGTTATTCTACTCCACTGACGCACCACTTAAGCCTTCCGTCAGGTTTGTTATCTGTCTTATTGTCAAGAATGTCGTCTCCTAAAGACGTTCGAGGTCGACTATCCGAAGGTATTTCGTTAGGAAATTCTTTTCCAGTCGTCTTATTAGCATAAAGATAAGGTCTTGGAATCTGTACTTTCCGCTATTTCAAATGCTAATCATGAGAAGTGTTTTTCCCTTCGTTGCATGCTCTGTTAAAAGCTTTGGTAAATGAAACGTTTTGACGCTTTTCGTCTTCCATTAATTCGGTTTCCAGGTAGCAGTTTTCTTTACTATTTGAGCAGAAAAATAGCAGTCATCTGACAGCTCAGGCCTCCGGCACTCGCTCTCAACCAGCGGTTTCAATAGACCATTTAAACTAATGAAAAATTCGATAACTTTGAAAAACTTTTAGAGAAACTGACAGTAATCATAATTGAATGGTGCATACAGGCTCGTTTACCCAGAAATAAAGTATTGAGAAAAACCCATTCACGAAGACGAAGCTAAGTAAGGTAGTCGATTTCTCGTAATTTAATTAATGTTTTAGTTAAACTTTTTTCTCAGTTCACTAATATATCCATTCCGATTATAGATTACTTGAAAAATCTGTGGGGGTTGGGTTACTTACACAGTTAAATCGTCTAAGTTATTAATTTGAATAAAGACCTGTGAGCGTTTGCGTTTCAGTATAGGCAAGTTGAGCGTGCTTGCATTTATGTTAGATATATTAACAGGTCTCGTGCACACATACATAACACACACACACACATTATAAACGCAATCACGCGGTTGGACGGCGTAATGCCCTTGCATAACCGATTAGTTTTTGTCCAATGAATGATATTAGTTTGTTGTTTTCTGGTTAGTGGGATCGTGTTTATGAATTATTTTGGCTTTCTCGATAGGAAAACTTTAGGTTTATGGTTTTTTCAGTATAACTACCTTTGCACGTAAGGTGGTTAAATAGAAATACAGGTTTGAGAAATGAAGGGGTCCTTATCATCGGTTGTGAATTAAGGAGCATTTTTAAAAGTCATACATAATATGCACTAAGAACTGTGCATTCGACAAAGTTCCTGAAGTCAGTCATAACGAAAGAGACTGTGTGTAACAAAACCCAGTGGAGCCACAACAAACAGGAGTTAGTGGAGGATTATAAGTAATTAATTACTCACTTCCAACAAGTAACAACCAGCACGACGAACGCTACTTCAGCATTCTTAGGTTAGTTAGCAATAAGCTCATTTTTTCTGACTTCAGCGATAACCATCGGGTTAAGGGAGTTAACCACAATATAGACAATTGAGCGGAATTGGTCAATGTGTTCTGATACACACTTAACAGGTAAACAGCCTCATTGCCATTGTATGGAAATTCGACTTTCTAATCGTGATTTGTTGTCAGGTCATGAGACGAAGCACGAGAAACAGAGAGAGCGTGAGAAATGCCGTTCTTTTCTTTCATTCTTCATGGTTGGACGAAGTTTCACACACGCACAGATAAATATATATATATATACACACACATACATGAGAGACATTGCAATAGTTTAAAAAGTTATAAAAAGTAAAGACTTAACGATATTGTTTAAACAAAAATAAGTGATTTACAGTCATATTAAGAATAATTTGTTAGCAAATTAGGCAAAAGCGTGTGCTAGATTTTATGTTATTAACTTCAATGTTTCAGTGTGTTCTTTCACACGGTTTGCTTGATTTTTCTTGTGATTCTTTATTTTTTTTTACGTTAAATATCTTTGCTTACATGTTTTTCATTTGTTTTAGATAGTTAGGTAAACTTCAATTGTGTATTAAAACATACAAGTTCTATGAAGGCAACTGAACACTCCTAAATGAAGTGAAATAACTTTTGGTTAAATGAATCTCATATTTTAGAACAATATGCAAAAATGTATATGTTCGAGAAGGTCCTGGAACTTTTCGTACAGACAACACCAAAATCTGCAACTGAGTTGTGAAAAACTGAAGATTTTATTGTAAGTCACAGACATATATATTGAAACAGTAGCACTTATTATCCCTAAAGCTAGAAACGCTTTCAATAATACTTGTTTTTATAGAGTAAAGCTATACAATTGGTTATCTGCCCTCTGTCCATAGCAGGGACTCGACCGCCGGATTTTAGCGTTGGTAAGTCAATGAAGTTACCGCTAACCCATCAGGGAACTTCAGAAAACAAGAAAATAAAGCATTTACGTATATCTTAACACTCAAAAAAAGAAAAGAAAAAAGATTATTGTTTTAGACATTACTTCTTCATATTTACGAACTGTTTTATAAAAGCTTGGAGTATTATGTAGGTTTCCGAAGACATTCTTTGCACCAAGTAATGATTTTAAGTGTAAATTTATAGTTTTTGGTTTTTCATTCGTTGAATTGGATGGCGGGAACTCGATAGCAACTACATTACCAAAACAAAGCATTCGTTTATTCTTAATGGTATCGTTTGACAGTTTCTTGAGATTGTTTCCTGCTAAGCTAATCTATCATAAATTAAAATAACTGAAATAAACCCAAAGTTATTTTAGAATTAATTACAACTAAACATTTTCAGTTTTTAACAGTAAATATTTTGCAGGAAGTGACATTGCATCGTTCTGGGAGTCAAGAAAAGTTAGGCCTAACACTTTGCTATGAATCAACAGAGGAAGTAGAAACAGACATATTTATAAGTGAGGTACGTAATTTTTTCTTATTTGTAATTTTGATTTTTTTAATGATATGAAAGTTAATATAGAATTTTGTGAATAAATTTGCTTTTTTAAGAAACATATATTTGTATAATTAATAATTTTCCATTTTAGAACTTGTTGCACTGTACTGTGTTTCTGTCTAACCTTCTTAAAGTTTTCAGTGTTTATATCAAAATCTGTTTACATAAAGATAAGATTATGACGTTAAAAATATATTATGCCAACATGCCAAAAAAATATTAAGTGTTCATATTACGAAATCGCATAAAAACAATTTGAAGTTTACATAATCGTTCAACCCAACCAATCTCAAACAAAGTTTCGACATAACGAGATACTCAGAAAAGGATATCAAATTTTGTGAACATCAAAAATGTGTAGTAAATACTTCAACCGTCTTTTTTTGCAACTAATGTACTTGCATATCAGATAAGTAAATACCACACACTTACGTCACAGAAACTGGGCTGTGTTATAACTTAGTTGTATACTTATACAAAAGCAGACAGTATGTAACTTTTTTCTCTTTATTCTGCTTTTCATGTAATAAAACTAATGTGGTTCATATGTTTCTTGCAATAGTGATTTTTTTAACCGTAAAAGTTTCTAATTATATTATTACTCTATGAACTGCCGTTTCTTTTTGGAATTCGTTCCATTTCTCTAATGAACTTACATTAGGCCCCAGGCCCGGCATGGCCAGGTGGTTAGAGAGCTCGACTCGCAATCTGCAGGTCACGGGTTCGAATCCCCGTCCCACCAAACATGCTCGCCCTTTAGCCGTGGGGGCGTTATAATGTGACACTCAATGCAACTATTCGTTGGTAAAAGTGTAGTCCAAGAGTTGGCGGTGTGTGCTGATGACTAGCTGCTTTCCCTCTAGTCTTACACTGCTGAATTAGGTACGTCGAGCGATAGCCCTCGTGCAGCTTTGCGCGAAATTCAAAAACAAACAAACAAACAAACATTAGGCCCCAGTAATAATTAGTATGTAATCGACTTAAAAACCAGTTTCTCTCATGTTAATGTTTAAAAGACATGTTAAGCACTTAAAAATACACATGTAAACAAAATTATGTGATTGAACGAAAAACCACGACTACAAATACATGATGACTTTAATCAGATACAGTATCATTAATTTTTTGATTCGTTTTTTTCAGCGTAAATCTGCATAATGGAACATCTAGATCGTGTCGACCGCAGGGATCGAACATTGAATTATAGTAATATAACACTTAATTTTTAATAAACGATATAAGCCATATTTTCCCCAACGACCTCACAGCTTAGATCGACAGAAAAGTATAGACGAGATCGTAATTTGATTATATTCAATACAAGCTGAGGTACCCGTCCTTTGTCCGGGTTATGAACTTTAAACATGTGTGGGTGGATGCTATGATAAATAACACAAAAATCCTAACTTTCACACAGTTTATTTATAACATAACATATTATTACAGTATTGATTATTGCCTCACTAAAAGTTTTGTATAAGGTTTAAGAACTCAATATGTATATACTTAAAACTTGGTATACACCGAGCGATGATCAGGGTAGACTTTGTATTAAGGGGCAGCAGCTAAAATAGGGGCGGTAGAGGTGCTTTTTATTACCAGCTTTCAACACCCAACTCTTAATGTCTTTCCACAGTGTTTTATGTGATTAATTAATTGACAGTCATTGGCCTCAGAAATGTCTTACGAGCCGAAGTTGAAATCTCATGGATCAAAGTAGGAAGTCAGTATGACTCTTCATATCAGCCGTATGGTTGCTGTTGGAGTAAAAACTTCAGCTGAGTTTATGTATTATTGCAGTAATGGTGGCCGTTTTATTTTTTTTGCATTTCTCCAGAGGGAGTGCTAGCGCATTCTCTGAGCTATATCAGACGTCTGTGTTCTCTCCTCCCCTACGTTGTGTATGTTTTTATTGAAAATTTAATAAAGTTTTTTGTTTTTAGTGTACGAACGGGGCGCCATCTATGAATGTAGTTAAAGTTAAAGTAATGTGGGGTGGAGGGGGTTGTTAACCCTAATTAGCACGACCCTTGTTCCAGGCTATCATGTCATAAAGTTTGGTTCAGATTGGCCGAGCGATCTAGGAGTAGCTAGATAACAGACAGACAGACACACTGATTTTTGGGCTATATATATATATATATAGAAAGTCTTGCTATACATCGGTTTAAAAGAAAACTGACATTACACCTGTTTATTAAGGACAAGTCCAGGCATGACCAAATGGTTGGATTGCCGGAGTGCAGATCGATTATTCCGAAGTTCAAGCCAAGATGCCATTAAACACGTTCTATACTTTCAAGTAAGCGCGTTATAAAAGTGACAGACAATCCCGTTTTATTCATTTCAAAATGCCGGGCAAAACTCTTTTTGCGGAGGGTTACTTTCCATATAGTAAGCAGTCCAAATATTTTAATGGCTATACCTTAGACTGAGCGACCTTTGGCCAAACCGTTTAGCACATGTATTGCATAAGGTGACGATCAAGTTGAAAAAGCCAATTTCAATGTTTTCTCTTAAGGACAAAATTAAACACTAACATATTAAATCCTTTCTAACTATGGCGTCTCATTTCATCTGATGATTGAACTATTTTTATTGAAATGAACTACTTCTTACCAAACATTTTCATTTCGAGAGTGCAGTACTAAAATAACTTATTAGGGCCTTCCTTTTTTATCTTTGTCAGATTTCTCACACAGTATGTATATTTCATTATTACAGATTGATGCCGATAGTATTGCAGGGAGAGACGGAAGGATCCAGGCCGGAGACCAAATATTACAGGTAATGTCACAGATCCTTCCAGATATCCCAGATAATGTCACATAATCTACCAGATACCAGAGATAATGTCACAGAATCTACCAGATACCACAGATATTGTCACAGAACCTACCAGATACCACAGATAATGTCACAGAACCTACCAGATACCACAGATAATGTCACAAAACCTACAAGATGCTATACAAGATGCTATTCAATATATATACGTGTCTGTCTATCTGGAAAGCCCCCCTTCCCTTCAGTGACACAGCGGTAAGTCTGCGGACTTATAATGCTAAAAACCGGGTTTCGATACCCGTGGTAGGCACAGCACAGAAAGCCCATTGTGTAGCTTTGTGCTTAACTACAACCAAACTATTTGTAAAGTTATTCATCCTCAACGTTTTCGGCTTTCGGCTCTTTGAGATCCATTTTTAACAAACGATTCCAACTTTACTATCAAGGACAAGTTTAGAAAGTTTTGTGATAAAATCTCCCGTCACAACAACGGTATGACGTTTTGCATAAAAAACATTGGTGAAGTCCTTTAAGCTGAACTTTAGATCTGAATAAATTGTCTAAACACACATTCTGAATACCAGCTTTCTGTTTTCTTTTTGTTCGTTTCTTTTTAATAGCAATAGTTCTTTAACTTTCATAATCTGGTGACGTCATATGTGACGTTAATGTTCTGGTCTTATATTACAGAAACCAGTTTTTGTTGCGTTTCAAGACATGAACCGAAAACAAAAATTATCCAGAAATTTATTATTATTACTCTGCTTATTTATATAAGCTTTTGGTTAACTGACTCAAAGTATTCAACATTTGTAATTATAAATTTGTATGTTTTATGTCTTCTTACGGCTTTCAAAAGCTTGGTAATATAATTTAATTTCACCTTATAAAAACAAACAAGTGTGGTATATTAAAAAAAATCATACAAACAAATTGTATCGACCCATATATGTGTGTGTCCAGCAAGTCCTTTCTATTTAAAGAAAGAAAAAAGACGCTGGTCATGATTTTGGGACTGGCAGACCTAGAATTATGCGTATAATTGCTGTGATTCGTGTCTGTTTAGATAACATTTCTTATGCCTGATATATTCGTGGTATGTACTTCAAGATTTTTATTGCAAATATTAGTTTATTTTAGTTAGTGAAAATAATGTATTTTTTTTCTTCTTTTTTTTACAGATTAATGGTAACGATGTTCACAACCGTGCTCAGGCAATTTTCCTGTTTTCTGAAAGCCGACCAGACTTCACTCTCTTAGTGGCTAGGCCTCAGCTGCAGGTGAGTTAAAAACAACCTATCCACACTCACTCAGGAAACAGAAATCGATTGTGAAGGTGATTTTCAACCAAGTGAAAACACACACACTTTCCAATTCACTACAGATGGACTCTTTATCTGAAGACCATACAGAGTGTTTTAGCTGTCCTTAACCAGTGTGAAAGATAATGTACATGTATAAGTCGTTTTTCAAAGAAATTGAGTTTTTTTTACTGATACGTTTTTTTAAGAGACTACCTGGCCAACAGAGCACCAATCTTCCAACGCTAAATATGTTTCTTTCAAAGAAATTATATTTTTAGTGATGATCGAGAATTTGAGTTATACTTGCTACGTACATCACAAGCTAGTGGTAGTCTGTAATAACTTGTATTCTTTAAGACGTTAACAAGTATTATTATGAAAACTAAAAACTAATAATATACGATGGTGAAGCGTAAAGATACTATAAAGCAATAACGAATTGTTACACGTGAATTTAAAAATAGATATGCAAATCAGTACTTAATAAGTATAGATAAATCTGTGTCCTTGTACCGAAATGTAATTGGTTCTTTCTCATGTGTCTCTAGATGGAAGACTGCCTATTGGACGACCATGCGGAAGACTATCCTCTTGCAATCTGTAGCAATCAGAATGTATTACTGGTACGTTGTGTTATTTGTCTCTTCTCCAGGTTCAAGAGAGTTTTTAGTTATTCTCAGTACCCTGAAGAATTGTCAGTATTTCTAAAACCTCCTCCTTTCTCTGTCTAAGATGGAGTATATGTTAAAATATAATTTGTATTTTCTACTAACATCACTCATTATTTGTTCCCTCTGCAGGCGGTGAACGAAGATGATGAAGGAACGGACACGGGTACCGGGGAAAATGGCTTCAACCAACATGAGAAAGACAGCGGAGTCGGAAGGACCGATGAAAGTACCAGGAATGACGAAAGCTCTGAGCACGAGGTAGCAGAGAACGAGTATGCCGGTTCAACAGGAAGTATGGGTACCACGCGCCCTCTGGGAGTGAAGCGTGAGATAGATATGTCTAAGAATAGTGTCAATTCTAACGAGCAAGACGACATGGACGGAGAAATCACTCCCGAGGACTGCGAAAAGTTTCGAGAAGAATTAGAGTTAAAATGTGCAAGCACTAGCACAACCAGTTTAGTAGATATTCACCAAAATGAAGATTTCCTACGTATTCAGTCTGATTCCAGCCTGGACCGCGAGATGGCTCTGTTAAATCAAGAGATGAAAAGTATTCAGTTAGAATGCGAATCTCTTGTCACTCGCCATTCGAAAGAACAAAAGGTACGATTTTCCAATGAGCAAATTTATTCCAACTTAGAAGATCCAAAACTACTTCCTGAGAGTCGAAATCGGCCAACTGTAGGGAAGAAAGAGTCCGTTGAGAGATGGGTAAAAACCACATCTCAGAATCAGAAATTGAGAGTTACTAGTTGGGGTTCTAGCGGTGACAGCTCTAGCGCTTACAACACTGGCGAGAGCTCGCGCAGTACTCATTTGACTCTAGAATTGAACCCTATGCCCCTTGCTTACCGGCAGAACAGTCATCATGGCTCCGTGATGTCCCTAATTGCGCCCAAAATGGAAGATAAAAGCACACAGCTTCAAGAGTCTGATGTTGCCAGTATCTTCAGTTGTGACAGCTGTCGCCAGTGTTGTCGCACTGTACTTCAAAGTGACAGAGAATCTTTACAGAAATGTGATTCTCCCAAACCACCTTCAACACTCTCTCGAAGTGGCAATAGGAGGATGGTGAGTAAGGTCACACCCAGTGGACAGCGACCTCTTCCTAAACATATCGAACACATAGAAAAGAATCAGAACTATGTTACATTCTATCCTTCTACGACTATGTACACCAACGAGCAGAATCTTCAGCACACGATCTTACTGCAACAACAACTGTTCCGTCAAGCTTTGGCACAAAAACAGCAGAAGAAGAAAGATATTCTTGACCCACGCTGTCCACTTGGCTCAAAACCTCAGGCGTCGATGTCCACAAATAGCTACCTTAGCAGTCTCTGCAAGAACATGACCCTCAGTACTGTAAAAGAAGACGAAGAAGTGAAGATGGAGTGGAAGGTGAAACGAAGAGCTGATGGAACAAGATACATTACTCGTAGGCCTGTAAGAAACAAGCTGCTGAAGGAACGAGCCATGAAGATAAATGAAGAACGTTGTGGGGTTACTACTGATGATGATGCCATGAGCGAGCTCAAGATCGGTCGTTATTGGTCTAAAGAAGATAGAAAACGCCATCTGGAAAGAGCACGTGACCGAAAACGGCGAGAAATGATGATGCGTGCTAAGATGGGTTCTGTTAAAGAGCAAGCTGAGGAGAAAGAAGGCGGTCAACAATTAAATGAAACTAAAAAAGAGATAAATATAATCGAACTTTCTCAAAAGAAGCAGACTAGAAAGAAGAGTAAAGCTGGAGTGGATAATTTCACAACCGTCCAGGAGGTATTGGCTCACGGTAGTAAAGGTCAGACTGGAGGGGTCAAGCCATTTGGACTGTTTTCGGTTACAACAGTGTGAAAGTGGTGTATATAGTGTTGTATATGTGCGCTTTTTGTACAGGACAGTTATATGATAGGGATTGATGACCAAAATTTTACCAAAATTCCTTGTTGTATTAGATTCTTGAACGACTATTTTTTTCGGTAAATTATATGTAACATTCAGAGTTTTATAAACCAGATGTTTTCAACAGTACGTGATTATTCCGTGAAAAAATACGTGTGTTGGTACACGTTTTTACCGTATAATGGTGGATATGATAAAAGTCTGCTGGGCTAGAACGGCATTTCCAAGTTTTGAAATGATACATATAATCACGAAAAGAAGGCTGATTTATCAACTAAGTATTTAAATGGTGATTTAGGTTTCCTTGTTGTTCCTTTATGCTTAAAAGATTTTAATTTTTGTGAACATTTCCTGACAACACAACTTACGTCGTTTTGTCTGATGTAAAAGCAGTTTTAATTTTTGGGGAGTTCTGTAACAACCGAGACGAGGCACAGAAGTAGTAGTATATGCTACCTAATAATTATTTATAAACAGTATCTGTAAATAAATTTTCGAAAATTCATTAATCTTATGGTGTGGATTGTTTTTGTTTTTGAATAACGTAGATTTCCATAATGAGGACAATGATCCTCCAATCAGTGACATCTCATGCTACAGTGTTAGAACGTCCGCTACTACAAGGTTAATCTAGTCATTGACGTTCTTGATTTTATTGCACGCACTGATAAAGTCATTCATTTTCTACAGTAATAATAACACTCGTTACTGATGACTTTCAATTGATAAACTATACATTCCCTAGGGATGAAAGATTGGTAATCTAATATTAATATGAAAATCATGGCCGCTCATACATACACACGCAAAATAAAATAAACCAATATGAAAACAGTTTGCAAGGATTCGCCTTTTTTATTTTTCGTATGTTATTAAAAATCAGACAGCATTGCAACAAATTATACATGCGATTATACAGGGCTGAGTTGCAAATTGGAAGGTCGGAGATTCGATCCACGACAAGTTTCTGTTCGGTTAGAGTAGGTGATGGATACTACTAATTAGTTGTCATTTCTTTCTCTCTCTAGTGAAAAGTTCTAAATTGGGGCTGAACCTTGGGGCATTTAAGCCCATGTGTTATATAAGAACCAGCGATATTGAAAATACCAAACACCTGAGAGTTAATATAGTTATACTCTTTTACAATCTATGTATCGTACTTGAGGAGAAAATACAAAATGAATGTACAGCCCGAAAAACTGGGTGGGATTCATTAACGTCACTTAAGACGTAAAGCTAAAATTATATATCATTTATTTCATTATTATTCAGTTTCTATAGTATTATTTATTACAGATTCACTATTAACTTTATTCTTGCGATTCTGTTGTATCTGTTATAGGTCATAAATACTTGACCTCCAACATGTCATAAAAAACACACGGAATAATTTTGTACACACATTAAAATTCCTATAAAGTTCTGTAATCTGTATTAAAGTCGCAATAGGTTTTGGTTGACTTTTCTTAAAGAATTTAATCATGTATATTCAGTGTATTGTCTATGAAATAACTAAAAAAGTAGGTGGCGCTGGTTTGCTCCTAAAATAGAATGGCCATTGTTTACCATACGGTAGAAGCATATTTTCTGTGTATTTTTGTATAACTTTTACATATTATATATAATTGTATGTTTATTACATTCCCACCACAGCTGACCCGGTCTTTTTTTTTTTCTTTTTCCTTTTTTTTACGTTAGCTTCGGGCGGAATGCATGCTCTGAAATGGAATGTGTGTGTTTAAATGCTCTGAAATGGAATGTGTGTGTTTAAATAGTTTATTGAGAAGCACAATAAATTCAGTACATTCATTTAAAATGTGTCAAGAAGAAGCTTCTAAAGTAGAGTAATAAATTTTCGACGCTAGCTTCTTGTTTTGTTTTATTGGGGTTACAAAATATTTCAAATTATGTTTTGTTGCGAATAATGTTTTAAGTCTATCAGCTCACGCCAAAAATTTAGGATAAAAATTCAAGAAAATAAAGAAAATTGTTTTGACCAAAAATATTAGAAATCTTCGCAAAAAGTAAAACAACAACAACAACAGACTCTACGAAGTATGCTGATCGAGAGGTAAATATTCCAAATAATGTGGTAATCTGTTTGGATTAATATTTGGTATAAAGTAGTCCTGTATTAATATATATATGTGATCTGATCATTAGTATGTACCAACAAATAATTGTTTTTTTTTAATTTCGCGCAAAGCTACACGAAGACTATCTGCGCTAGCCGATCCTAATTTAGCAGTGAAAGACTAGAGGGAAGGCAGCTAGACTTCACCACCCACCGCCAACTCTTGGGCTACTCTTTTAACAACGAATAGTGGGATTGACCGTCACATTATAACGCCCCCACGACTAAAAGTGCGAGCATGTTTGGTGGGACGGGTATTCGAACCCGCAGATTGCGAGTCGATCGCCCTAACCACCTGGCCATGCCACGCCCGCTAACAAATATATTGGGTTTCATAGAAATAATTGTAAACCACACCTGTTTTTCAGTTGCGAATTAAAAGCATTATTTCTTTTCTATGGTTAAGTTGTGATTTTACCCTAAAAAATGATAGAGGAAGATAAATTGCTATTTAAGGAGTTGTTTGAGTTGTATTTAAAACGACCTTATATATTTAAGGGCCCTTGTATAAGATCACTTAAAATTTTTAAAGCAGAACATTGGAAACGGAAACACACTTCACATACTAAGAACACTTGTGTGAAGAACTTATGAAGTTCTTTGATGAAACACTTTTCCAAAACTGTTACATCATCGTGGCTAATTTGCACATATGCATAAGGTTGATAATATCATTAAAAAATAATAATGGCAATCCAAAAATACTGTAGTGGAAAGTTCTTCTGGTTGTCCTTCAAGACATTTTTATGTTTGTTTAAGTATAATATTTACCTTGGATAGTTGGTTTAGTTGATTCCCAATAAACAACAGTTCTTGGGATTTTTAGTTAGAGTGATTCAAATATTATCATTCAAAATTTATTGTGTTTAATTTGACTGGTTCCTTAAATAGAAAGTCGTTATTTAAACTATCACTAATAGCACTTTAATGTAAATCAAAAACATCCCCTGTTGATTTTATCGACGTCTTCTGATACGTATAAAAAGATCTTTATGAACACTATGTAACACGAGATAGACATTAAAAACTAACAAACAGCGTGTTCTAAGAAAAAAATAACGTTACTACATATCTGGATGTTGACTTGATACGGAATGCTCCACTTTATTCACTTAGCTCGTCAAAATTACAGACTTAATTGTTGGACCAAAAGAATATGCTTCTTTTATTCTGTATATAAGATAATCAGGGGCTATGCAAACCTTAAATTAAATAAAAAAAGTTTCTAATATCAACATTTTGTGCGTACTCTTCTGCATTAATTTGCTTTTTTCTTTGATTAAGATGTATATTATCACCTACGTCTAAAGAAAATACTAGAGTTACTTTATTAGAAGCCCATAAACAAGTACGTGTTCGTTTTTAGAGCAAAGCCACATGGAGCTATCTGCTGTGTCCACCACGTGGAATCAACCCTTAGATTGTAAGTTCGTAGTTGTCCCACCAGAAAACATCCATAAATGAGCGTATTCAACTGTGACGACATCGGAAATGTTAACTTTGTGAACGGAAATGAAAGGTTGCTGAAAAGAACTATATCTGTAAGTGTAGGTATGTTGAGAACAAATTCTGTCCGCAAAGTACTTTATTTGCCCCCCCCCCTACCTTCACCTTTGCTCTTAAATTTTGGCTTATCTCGTGGGAACTTTTATTACTCTAATAGCACTTGTAATACAAGTGTACGTCTCAAGCATGATAAGGATTAGTGTTGCCTGGTTGTATCGTTGTTGTTTATCCTGTAATTACCGAAAACTAATTAATTCTATTCAATTACAACTGAGTGAACTGCGGAAGAATATCCCAAGTAAGACGTGTAAATGAAAAACAATAACGTCTGTTTAATAGTAATCTTGTTCATAAAACATGATTAATATGGGACTGATTATATGGGTGTTCATAAGAACATCATATAATCAGTCCCATATTAATCGTGTTCATAAGAACATCAAATAATCATTCCCATATTAATCGTGTTCATAAGAACATCAAATAATCAGTCCCATATTAATCGTGTTCATAAGAACATCAAATAATCAGTCCCATATTA